ATGAGTATACGTTGCCCAGGGTGCACCACGTGGAGGTAAGTCTATCCCACACCCCGTAAACCAAAATGTAATTTCATGTGTATTTTGTGCAAAGATATTTTGTGCAAGTATTTTTCCCTCCCTCCCCAGCCAAGTGACACCAGCTCCAGTACCCATGACGAGCCGCCCCTCTAAGACCCATCACAGCCTCCTGACAGGAGCAGCCACATCCTCACCTGCACCAGGTAACTCCTCTCTCACACCTTCTCCCCACTACAACGCTGAGCAACACAGTCTCCTCACAGGGGATCCGCCCTCCTTCAATGAACAACACTCCCTACCCTCCTCTGCCCTCCCGCGTTCTGTGTACGTTATAACCCCCTACTTAAACGAATATTAGTAGGACCTAGTGACTCAATTTTGGTAACCAATTTGTTAGCCCACCTGTTGTGCGTTGTTGGAGCATTAATCACAGTGTTCGTCTGCCATGACAGCTTCCTCGGGTTCGATTCCCATTGGCTCACACCCAGTGAGTAGAATAGCCAACCGTATTGGTTAATTTTGGTTAATGCAGAGGACACTAGAATTCAAATTTCTCACCAGGTGGACTCTTTTATTAGTAGGAATAGTGAGGGGGAAGTATTTTGATTATAGAGCCTTCATTGGTAAGGTATTTTGATGAACTAATTCGTAGATAAATCTGTATTTAGGCGAAAGTTTCCCGTTCGCGAAATTTTTGTGTGGGTCTTAATCAATTGATAGCAGTCAATAAAAGTTAAATTGTCGAATTTACAGAGAAGGCTCATTTGAATGGAATATGGTGCCTAATTCGCCAAAAGCATTGTCATTAATCACACATTTCTGGAAGTGGGTTCGACTACCTCAAGAATTGCGTTTCTGTGGGTTACCCGATCTGTTAGTGTATAATAAGCTCGGGTTGCTTTGTTCCACTTTTATCTCAATCAAAATTTGAATCGATTTTTTTCCTCTTGAATGATGCTCAAGGATGATTCTCGTGCTTTTTGGCCTTACTCATTATAATATATTTTTTTAAATGAATGCATAAATCGCCTCTGTATTTTCAGCATGAAACCCACCGTGTCTCCGAACTTTAACCGACGCAAGCTTGAATATACTTCTCTTAGGTACTAACTTACTCGTGCCGCACTAAAACCCCTTTCTACACCTGCCTTAATGCGCTTAGTGTGTACCCCGCTTTACTGACCCTAATTCCCGTCTCTCCTCATTGCATGCTCGCAATATCTGATTCACTCTCTCCTTTCTCCTCCCTATTTGTTCATCTCTGTCCTTATTTTTGCAGAGGAAAAGATTTAGCACCCTTCCAATTCATACGCCACGGATTCAACTATGCCTCACTTAGGTATTCCCAGCACCATTGAATGTGTTGTTGAGCTATACTAACTCCCTTCATAAATCGCACCGAAAAATATCGCACTTAGAGAGTGACTGGGTGTGTGTACAACTGAGGGTGTCTATTAAAACTGTTTCCCCTTTCTAGAATGGGGGCTAATGTTGGGGCTCCAGGTGGCCCTCTGGTAAGTGCTGCGGGTCGAACCAACTTGACGGTTTCAGGTGCCAACGCGGCGATTTCTGGTGGACATGGAGGGTACTCAGGAGCTGCGACAATGGCCCCAGCGAGTGGAAGCAACTTTTCGCGAATGACAGCTGAGAGGAGGACAATTCATGCTGGAGTGGGACATCAGATACCCTCCTCTGCAATGGAAGACTTCGATCCCACCTCGAGCATCGCGGCAAGAAATGTGGGACTTTCAGAAGTGGGCAATTCCGGAAACAACTCGGGAGGTGGTGCTATGAATTTCTTCAAGGGACTAACTCAGAAAATTGGTCGAGGGTAAGTTTTATTAACTTTTATTACTATCGTTTATTTAACACTCCTAACAGTCTTCATGCATTTGGTGCATTCGCTCTATCGATTTAATTATTTCTCCTTCAGGTTGCAGAATATCTGCGTCTAATTTTCTTACAAAAAAAACACAGAATGTCAGAAGGGAAATATTTATTATTTATTTATTTCAAATGGCAAGCATTTTGATAACTATCATTAGCCATTTAGCTGAAACGTACAGTCGCGTAGGGTTAAATCTGCGATGGTCGACACGTCGACACCATTTAATTTCAGTTTGGGATATGATAGATTGATATTGTGTGTATAGACTTCATTGCCCATTCTCGGTGTTTTTTCTTTATCCAATTAAATTTAAGGTAAGGGTAGGTGAAAATGAATATGCAGCGGAGAATTGTGCAGGATTGAGTGCGAAAGTGTAATGGGTTGGAAGAAAAGCACCATTCACTATTATGAAATCAATTTTTCTCAACCTGCTGATAGCCTCTGGCAACATCGGGGCCATTTTATTACCAGTTTCGGTTTACTTTCATGGACACACTAATGCTCAATTGATCTAATTTCAGAATTGTGTCCTGGTTTCCAGAGTGAGTACGTGTTTGTGGCATTTGGAGCTTAATTTTCGTTATTACTTTGGTGTTCCACTTCGCTATCATTTACTCTCAACTGATTGACCTTTTTTGCTAACAAGACGACAAGAGTGTTAACATGATTTGATAATTGCGGAGCTCACCAAAGTGTGCTGTCATTCATCATTACCATTCTCGATTTTTTTTGTAAAAAATATATCGATTTGGCGGGCAAATTATTTTTTTTTGAAAATTTACAAGCGGGAGGGATTTTGGTAATCATTTTTGCAAGTTTGCAACGTTTTTTGCAAATAATTCAAGGCGTTGTTTTACCCCCATTTTAATTTGTGAATCAGACATACGCCTTTTTGTATTTTGGTTTGGAATCGACTGAGATAACCTCCCCGCCATAACAACATGGATTCAGTTGAAGTTTATTTATTTATATCAAACGGCAGGCGTTTTGGTAGTCATCATTAGCCCTTTAGCTGACTTCGGGGCGTCACAGAGGGGAGGAGGACTATTAAAGTGACAAAAAGTCGATGGGCTGGGAAAAGGAGACTAATTCACAGATGTAAAAGAGACAGAGAGACACAAAGGCAGAGAAAAAGGTGAGATGAGTACTGTGAAAGGGGTCGAATATGACATACAGTAGAATCATGGTAGTTTGAAGTTGGAAGTCAACTGCCGATTAGTAGACTTTTTTGCCGTATGGGTGTACGTTGCCCAGGGTGCACCACGTGGAGGTAAGTCTAAATATACATTGCCCAGGGTGCACCACGGAGGTAAGTCTATTGCACACCCCATGATACCTATCATAACGCCTGCCATTTGAAAGTACGTTGTCCAGGGTGCACCACGTGGAGGTAAGTCTATCGTATTCTTAAGAATAATTGTTTAGAAAACCAGCAAGGGTTGAAAGTTGCCCAGGGTGCACCACGTGGAGGTAAGTCTATCGCACGCTGTCCAGGGTGCACCACGTGGAGGTAAGTCTATCGCACACACCCCTCCGCTTCCAAATAAGATGTTGATAGTGAAGGCATATTTCCAGGGTGCACCACGTGGAGGTAAGTCTATCGCACACCCAAATTCAGTTGAAGTTAAATTGCATGGATTGAGGGTGGTAATTAATAAACTCGGTCGGGGTTTTACCGTGGTAGGCTGATTGCACTTTCCCACTTTATCTAAATTCTGGTTAACTGTCCCCCTATTGGTACTTGGTTGGTTCAACAAGATTCACTATGAAGGAATCAGATGGATATTTTTTTACCACTCAAATTTGTAGCTCTCAATTTTGGAAGCTTGGCCCCCCCCCTCCCCCAAACTCTCAACCTTACTAATCCGAGTTGAGGAGCACGTTCCTACAGAACTACTTAATCTATAATGTACCGTGATTCAATTGTGTTAAGGTATCGCATTTCTCTCATAAATGCCGTAAATGGCGATAGAAGAAGGAGACAATCAAGTGTGACAGAAGGGCGGTCGTAAATCAGGTGTTTTCTAGTGAAGGAAAGCAGTAAATAGTTTAATGGACAAAGTAGACGTTGGCTATGAACTCCCTCTCTCTGCGGTTGGAATCTGCCTTGAGTAGAATGCCCTGTAGAATGCGCGAAGGTTGGTTGTTACTTTGTGTTAACGTCTTTTTGAATCAATCTCATGTGTCGAGAGAGATCATAATTTTTCGATTTCTATGAATATGGAATAATAATTTTGGAGGAATGAAACCGATGAATTGACCTCGAATTTCAATATTTGATTTAAACAGTCTCATCTGTTTATTACACTATTTCACAGGGTTTAGAGCTTTTAGGTTATCACCTCATTGTTTCTTGATCGGTACGGCAGTAATAAGTTGTTCTATCAGACATGCCTAATTTTACGCCTTTTAGCTATCCAATAATGCCCTCTAACACTTATTGATTGCTCTGTAGACGTATTGTGAGTGGCGCATCTCAAATGTCCGCAACACTACCCTCTGGTCTCATGACAACATCTACAATCACTTCAAGCACTGGAGTTAATGCTGTAGATAAATCAGACTCAGCCAGTAGTTCAAATACCTCAGATAACCGCATTACAGTCGGCTCCAATGCTGAAGGTGTCAATGATGGCAATTCCACTACAATGGAACAGACCAAACCCCGCAGTCTTCGCTTCACATGGACAATGAAAACCACATCAACTAAGGATCCTATCATTATGCTGAATGAAATCAAGAAGGTTCTTGCCGAACAGAACTGCGAGTACGAACAACCGGAGACGTATCTATTGGTATGTCGTCATGGCGACCCTGAAGCAGACACCTGTGTCCAATGGGAAATGGAGGTTTGTAAACTCCCCCGACTGTCTATGAATGGTGTCCGTTTTAAGCGTATCTCTGGTACATCGATTGGTTTTCGTAATATAGCAACGCGAGTTTCAGATGCCCTGAAACTCTAAAAGATGATGGTGATGACTTTTTTCTCTCTCTTTTTCTGTCTTGTTTTCTCTCTTTCGTGGGTCTTGTTCTCCATCCCCCGCCCCGCC